ATCCCCCAGAGAGCATGCACCACATCTGTTAGGTGTGGATTTACCCATTCCCTTCTCCCCGTTCCCGGTAACTTTATTTTTAAAAGTATTTAAAATTTGAAAGAAGCAAAGCCTTTGGAGAGTTTTTTCTATGGAGACAACTGAGTGATGCAACTAAGTTTCAATTTTGTTTTCTTTACGTAATCTTAAAAATGGATTCTAGAGAATCATCAAAGATTATATCGTTTCTGAATCATAATATATCAAAAGATATGAAAGCTTACCTACCAATATGAACCCAGAACCTATTATTTTTATAGTTCTTTTTTTCCATTCTGTATTTTTCTTGACCATGAAACCAGTAAGTGGATTAGGAAGTGTTTGGTAATTAATTAAGAGTGTCGGGCTGCAGAGTTACACTGCCCAGGACCACTTCCAGGGCCAGGAAGTGATTCTCAGGAGCATCCCACACAGCACAGCGGGAAAACTTATAAAATCCTGCTTGACTGTCTGAACATTTTTGCATTTCTCTCCATGAGTAGTATCAATATTTTCACATAAGCTATTATACTCCAGAAACTGTGCAAAATAATTGGTATAAAAATGCTTCTTTTTGACAGAGATATTTTATTCTAGTTGGACAAATAACAATAATTTTCATATATTGTATTTCAAGTAATGATAGAATTAATTAAAAGGTATAGATGAGGCAGAGAAGGATAAGATGAACTCTGCCTAAAGGGAAATTCGGAAAGCTGCAGTTTTGAGGAAGCTCTACTAAAAGACACCATAGGCAAAGTGAATAGCATGGGAAAGAATATCATTCATTCATTCAATAAATACTTGTTAAGCAAGAGACTGTGAATAGTTTTTGTGATATCATCATGACAAAGACAGACATGGACCCTGAGCGCACAGAGCTTAGAATCTAGTGGGATATGGATACTAATACTAACAAAACTATATATTAAATAATTACTAACTATGATACCTGCTGTATAGAAAAAGTATGGTAATTTATAAAAACATGGAACAGAAAGACTTTGTTAAGCATCTGAGTTTGTTTCTGGGAAATATATGGCTGCTGAGTAGGTGAACAGGATTGGGGGTTGGGGGTGAAGGGTGCTACAGTATTGTGCACAAAGGAAATAAGATGTGTAAAGGCCCTGAGACAGAGCAGACCATGGCTTACCGATGGGAACTGAAAGATCCATATGCTTGGAGAGAACAGAGCAAAGTAAGTACAGATGCTTCTTAATTTAGCAGATTACATTCAGATAAACTCGTAGTAAATTGCAACTACTATAAATGGAAAGTGTGTTTTTGATTCAGTATATTGTCAACTCATGATGGGTATGCCAGGACATAACCCAGGATAAAAAAAAGGAGCATACCAAATACATATCGCTTTTACACAATCATTAAGTCAAAAAATCATAACTCAAACCATTGTTAAGCCAGGGACTGTCTACATTGGTTTAAGATGAGACAGCAGAAATACCTGGAACCTTGACTAGAATTTTTTTTTTTTTTTTTTT